GGGTCCCTCAGGGTTTAGGGCTTGGGGTTCTTTAAGGGTTTGGGTTTTTGAGTTGTTTAGGGCTTGGGTTCAGGGTTTTAGGCTCACGTCTCTGCCTTGGCCTGTGGCTGTCCTTGATTCCTGCGCACAGCTGTTGGCGGGAAAGTCGGGTCCAAGACTTTCTCTATCTTCAACAAAGTCGGGGAGGAGTCGGCAGGTTTAACGAGGCATTTTTGGTGGGTAAATTCAAGGCATGTGAAATGGTCACACGCGAGGCCCTGAGCATTCACTTCTTAACGAAGCATGAGTAAAACTTGGGCAGATCAAGATCTGTTTGTATCTGATGCTGGCTACTGAACCTTCCCACAGACCTTGAACTCTTGCAATTCGCGACCTAGCCCCAACCGGACTGATCCTGGTATGAACCCTGCCAATTGGATCAGGCTTTATGCACACCCACCTACCCACCCTTTAGAAGCAACTGTGCTGTTAAAAGTGAGGATTGGACCCATGTTTCCGCCAGAATTTGGAATGCTAGGTGACGCAACCATGACAGGTGGGCGTTGTTCTAAAGCCACTGTTTTTTTTGTATGCCGAGTTCAGGACAGAGGTTCCCAGTTTTGTCATCTTGGCACGCGAAAGACTTGCCAAAGCACGTTGAAAGATCTGCGATGCATGAAGCATTTGGGTTACCAAGAGGCTGTTCAGACAAGGTTGGCAGGATGTTGCTGAAGCTCTCTGTGCCCGGTGGTTCTAGCGTAACGCCTTGATGAAGCCTTAGATCCAGGGACCTGCTAATTGTTGAGCACGTGGACAGCATTTGCCCTTCATTACTATGGCGTTTCCTAACAGCTTTGTAAACGAAGATGGGGAGAATTAGAACCAGACTTACTATTAGAACCAGACTTGCTGTGCGTGCCAAAGGGGCGTGGCGTTTAAATGCGTTTAATAGGTTTTCGGGACAAGGCATTTGAACAGGCACCAAATGAACCCTGGTTTGGAATGCTTTTTGGGACTGGATTTCTCGAAAACAATCGAAGTCATGCCTCCCGAAGTATTTGTTATCAGAGCGTGCGTGCACACTCGTTCGCTTTGTTTTCCCCCTTGCCCGAAACCCCGAGCGCCAAGCGCTGAACTCAACTCTAAACCCTAATGAGACCGATTCCGAGACCCAGCACAATGCCAGCCAGTCAAGGACGCCACAGAAACTAGCGCGGACAAGGGCACCTTGTGCAGCCCATGTGAGAACGTCAGCTGACCAGCGCATTAGACAGGCATTGAAGAGTCTAAAGAAGTTTAGACAGGAGGCCAATTTGTTTACGGTTGTTTTTTGTTTCCTGCGTTTCTGCTTATTGTTTTTTGCCTTGTGCTTCTTGCTTTTTGATTTTTGCTTTCTGCTTTTCGCTTCTGGCTTGCTGCCTTTTGCTTTTGTTTTGTGTTTGTTGCTTTCTGCATGTTGCTACTTGTTTCTTGCTTTCTGGCTTCTTGCTTCATCTTTCTTCTTGCCTGCGGTCTCCTGAGTGCTAATTGCTTTCTGATAGCTTCCTGTTTCTCGTTGACTGCACTCAGCTCCCCGATCGCTGCTATTTGCGATTGTTGTTTTTGCTTATTGCTCCAATTCTGCTTAGTACCTGCCGTTTTCCGTGGCATGTGTCACAATATTCCACCACTTTCAACATTTTTCATATTTTGCATCATTGTCAATAACTTTCATGATTGTGCCTCAATTTCATATTTGTTCATCGTTCGCCATCCTTCTTCACATGGTTCCATGCTCTTCATGGGTTTTTGTAGTCTGCGTCATTTAGCCGCTAACGCGGGATCGCCTCGGCATCCGGGGGGACCAAGCGCCGGTGCCAAAGTCTTTAGCGTCGCCGCCATTGTTTCAGTGCAACCGCCCCGTAAAAGTCAGCCCTGATGTGCGAGGCTTAGTCTCCGGACCTGGATCTAAAACGCTCCAGGCCTCCGGCCTCGGTTGTTTGTTCGCGCATGGGAGGGGGGGCTGCGCTGCCCCCAATCCCCTTTTTTTTTTTGGCAAGTCATCCACAATTGCTGTGACAAAGAAGCGTCATGTCATCACCATGTTTGCAGGAAGGGATGGTTACACAGATCATTTCGTTTGCAACTAGGCAAGGGCACAGCCCCCGCAACCCCCCCGCCTTTTTTCAAGGCCGTCCATGCTTGACCACTGTTCGTCATTTTAGATCGCCGCGTGATTCTGCAACATTGTTGTCACAATTGTTCATCATATGCATCATTTTCCATCAGCTTTCAGCAGTTTCCATGATTTGCCACCATATTCAACAGGTTTCATGATGTTTTCATCACTTGCGGTAATTTTCATCATGTTTCATCATTTTCAGGCTTTCATGATATTTCATGATTTTTCGTCATGTTCCCGAATGCTCCGCAGAAGGGTTCCCGTTTTAAAGTTGGGGTCCAGGGGTCCAGGAGGCGACGCGAGGTCGTTGCGTTTATGTCCGCCAAGCGTCCGCAAGCGTTTGCAAGCGTCCGCGAGTGTCGGAGAGTGTCGCGCATCGTCGGGAGTCGCAAATCTTCGCGAAGCGCAGAACTGTCGTCACTTTTTACGCTTAGCGTTCCAAAA